TCTGCACCTCGAGGTTCACAAAGTGCTGCGCCTGCCACGAATTCTGCACATGGAGGTTCAAAGTGCTGCGCCTGCCACGTAGACTGGAGCTAGAGCTATTGAAACTAGAGCTAACTGGAGCTAGAGCTATTGAAACTAGAGCTACCTGGAGCTAGAACTCTTGAAACTAGAGCTAACTGGATGGTGCATGATAAGTGGTGTATGATGAGTGGTGTATGATGTGGTGTATAATGAGTGGTGTATGATGAGTGGTGTATGGGGAGTGGTGTATGATAAGTGGTGTATGATGAGCGGTGTATGATGAGTGGTGTATGGTGAGTGGTGTCTGATGCGTGGTGTATGATGAGTCGTGTATGATGAGTGGTGTCTGAGGAGTGGTGTATGATGAGTGGTGTATGATAAGTGGTGTATGATGAGTGGTGTATGATGAGTGGTGTCTGATGAGTGGTGTATGATGAGTGGTGTATGACGAGTTCAATGTCCGTAACACGGAAGTTTTGCACACTAAACTTCCTTTGACAAACACAGCTACAAAGACACAATCACAAACACGTAGCCACAAACACAGCTACAAACACACAGCCACAAACACGCAACAAAAACACACAACCACAAACACAATCAGAAACACACAACTACAAACACGACTACAAAGACACAAACACAAACACACAACCACAAACACAACCACAAACACACAACCACAAGCACACAACTGGAAACACACAATCACAAACGCAACCACAAACACACAACCACAAACACACAACCGCAAACACACAACCACAAACACACAACCAAACACAACCAGAGACACACAACCACAAACACACAATCACAAACGCAAACAGAACCACACAATCACAAACACAATCACAAACACACAACTACAAACACAACTACAAAGACACAATCACAAACACATAGCCACAAACACACAACCCCACAAACGCAACCAGAAACACACAACCGCAAACGCACAGCCACATCACAACCAGAAACACAGAATCACAAACGCAACCAGAACCACACAACCACAAACACAACCACAATCACACAGACACAAACACACAACGACAAACACACAACCACAAACAAACAACCACAAACACACAAACACAAACGCACTTCCACAAACACACAACCACAAACACAACCGCAAACACACAACCACAAACACAACACCACAAACACACACCCACAAACACGCAACCACAAACACACAACCACAAACATGCAAACGCAAATACACAACCACAAACACGCAACCGCGAATACACAACCACAAACACACAACCACGGAAGCACAACCACAAAAACACAACCACAAATTGACGCACAACCACAAACACAACGCCACAACCACAACCACAAACGCAACAACAAACACAGCCACAAACACAACCACAAACACACAACCACAGCGCACAACCACGACCACAACTACAAACACACCCACAAACACAACCACAAACACAACCGCAAACACACAACCACAAACACGCAACCGCAAACACAACCACAAACATGCAGCCACAAACACAACACCACAAACACACGACCACAAACGCGCAAGAAACCACAAACACAACCAGAAACACACAACCACCAACACAACCACAAACAGCCACAAACACACAGCCACAAACACACAACCACGATCGCAATCACAAAGACACAACCACAAACACACAACCACAAACACAACCACAAACACACGACCACAAACACAACACCACAAACACACAACGACAAACACACAACCACGAGCACAACCACAAGCACACAACCACAAACACAACCACAAACACACAATCACAGACACACAACCACAAACACAACCACAAACACAACACCACAAACACACACAACCACACACAATCACAACGCAACCACAGCACACAACCGGAGGACCCATGCAAAATCGAGAACCACCAAGCTCACTATAGTGTGGGAGCAATCAGTTCGAAGATGTGCCAGAGTGATTGGGGCCGGATGCAATTCCATATCTGTTGGCGCAGCTGTTTGCAAAGAGGCTTGAAGCAACATCCTACAGCAAGTAAAGTACATAGAAACTACTCCTACTACTACTTCTACCACCACCACAACTACTACTACGACGACGACTACTACTACTACTACTCGGGCCCCGGGAGCTTCCAAGTTTCGGGCCCCGAAGCTCGGGCCCCGAACTGCGCACTACTATTGCTACTACTACCACATTACTACTACTATTTCTACTACTACTACTACTACTACTACTCTTCTACTACTCTTCTTCTTCTACTACTACTACTACTCTACTACT